GAGTTTAACAAATCAATCTGATTATAATTTAAAATGATCAAAACGAAGCAATTACGTCGATGGATCAAAATAAGAATTTTTGGTTTTAGGTATAACTTTCTCTTCCAATTCGAATGGAGCCTGCCAACCATTTGTTTTCCTCAGCTTGTGGTACTTGCACTCCAAACACTCTTCCGGCATTTTAAGGAGGGAAATTTCTATACAATCAGGAAGAAAGAGTGGATTTTTAAAACAATTTTTGGAAAGTTAGTTTCGTTAATCTTTTTGGAGGTTCAATATAATATGAATTCATTATCAACTATAACAATGAGAGGATTGTAAGTTGTAAATTTCAAAAATCTTGCATACTAATTATAAAAAGATCGAAAAGCAAGAAAACAAACGCAAACGCATCAATGGCAGACCAATTTAGGAGAGCCAACACTTCAATTTTTGGTGACCTTGTCGAAAGAGAAGCATGAAAAACAAAATTTTCATAAGGCTATGTTTGGTTAGAAATAAATTGATGATGAAAAATGAAAAAAAGGTAGAAAATGAATTAAAAAGAAAGAAATTGAAAGAAAATTTATTTTCTTATATACATTCGATTAAAATAAAAAGTTTGTTAGAAAAGTTAGTACAATGACTAAATTATCCTTATCATATTAATTTAATAGAGATAAAAGTAAGTGGACACAACATAAAAAATAAGACAACTTTTCTCGGGAAATAAAAAATTTCTCACACAATTTATGGGAAACTAAAGTAAATGTTTCCAGAAAAATTTGACACTTGAGGAGAAAAAAAAAAAACTTTCTCGAAAAATTATACTTTCTACCTAATCAAATAAAGGCAAAGTTTATTTTTTTTTTCTTTCTATTTTTACATGCTTAACCTCCATACATCATTAGGTTATGATGCCAAGTGTCTAGTGTGTTTCTTGTTACCAGTAGCTAATCTTATATGTTAAAATGTCCTATTCTTCTGTAGTAGATGTTGGCTCTCTTGCCACCCTAAGGGTCCGTTTGATTAAGAAAAAAAAAATAATAAAAATAAAAAATTATAAAAAGTGAAGTGAATAAAATAATAAAAAATATATTTTCATGCATATATTTGGTTAGAATGAAAAATTTACAGAAAAATTTTAAAACAATTTTATTCTATTGTTTGAAAGTAATTAAAGTTATAAGAATTTTTTTTATAATTGTTTAAATTACACTTAATTATATTAAATCGGTCTAAAAAAGGAAAAAAATATGTAATTACAATTAAAAATTAAAATTGTTTTAAAAAGTGGCTCAAAACCTAATTATAAGACAATCACCAATACAAAAGTCTTTGGGCCAAATTATGTGATTAATTAAATTCATACCAAAATTTTTTTAAATTAATTACCAATAAGATATTTAAGAAAAATAAGGGTAAAATAGGAAGTTAATTATAGATCACAACTTTCTTGTATTTCCTTGTGTTTTTTACAAGAAAAAAAAGTTGGTTACTTGAGAGAAAATTCAAGGATGAAAGAAAATTATTTTTTCTATCATTTTCTTTTTTATGCTAACCAAACACATGAAAATGTTTAAAAATTTCTCTTTCTTGTATTTTCTATCATTTTTCCGTTAAACAAACGAACCCTACGAAACTCCAACCCCCCCTTTTTTGTTCTTGCTAAAATAAGGCCGGAAGAAGGAAAAATTTATGCCTTCCAACCGTAAGAATTGGCATTTTACCGTCTTTAGTTATATGAGGCCTTCACGCAAACTAGGCTAGAGTTCCTTGATTCGTAGAATTCTCCCCATAACCAATAATGACGAATTAGAGACCATGATAAGCTTCCTATTTTTTTTTTTTTCCTGATATGACATTATTCCTGAATATCTCTATTTCACAATATTAAGCTACCAATTTACTGAATGTTTTTCTTTTTCTTTTCCTTTCCGATTTGTTTAGCAGTGGAGACAGGATTCGAACCATTGTATCAACCTCGTAGTCTCACAATAACTTCATCCTTGTAGGAATGCCGCATTTAATTAAGAAATGTTGGCAATGTACGTGGATCTGGTACTTGCTTCTTAAATTTGATAGTAGGAAACTTTAAACAGTAACTTAAGTAATAATAAAAACAAATTATAAATTTAGATATTTTGATTTTGAATCTTGACAACTTCATAGAAAAATTTATCCCTCATAAGTTCTATTATGGATGACTTGTCTTTTAACCAGATTAAAAAAATGATTAGTTAAAAAACGCATAAATTAATTCAAAAACCCAACAAAAAAAAAGTATAGGAAAAGTTTAAAATAAGCTAAATGATAAGTTTTGATGTATGAAAGATGTCTGAGGCAACCATTAACGTTTAGAAGTGGTCAAGCTCAAAAAACAAAGGCAAAAACTGGAGTGGTTGGACTCGACGGACCGTGTGATCAAATCAAAGGGAGGTGATAGACCAAGTCTGGTCAATATCACCGTCTGCCGAGTGACGGTTCTTTTTTCTTAAGGGGTCGAAGATTACTTGCGTGTGGGTGAGGCAGAAGGGGGAGACACATCTATCTCTATCTAAGGGATTGCTTGTGAAAATGTTGGTGGTCCCCATTCTGTTATGGATTCCCATGAGCTGTGTTTTACCAGCACTCTCAACACGTGTCATCCACCCAAACACGATGGAGACCTCTCTTCCCAAAAGAATCTCTTTTCCTTTGCCAGAGAGGGAGAAAAAGACTTTACCTGGTTAATATTTGATACAAGAGTTACACTATCTCAACATTATGGCATGATATAATTATTTAATGATTATTTAATAACTAAATAAAATAAACTTTACTCTTTCAAATAATTAACTTTTAAAATAATAACCACCACATATTCAAAAAGTGTTATTTATTTTCTTATTATTAAACAATTACACCATTTAACAACACTGAAATAATATAATCATTATACTCAATATTTACTCTTATCCGCAGAGAGAGAGAGAGATGCCCACTTGATTTTTTAGAACAATATTATATGAACTTAAAAATTAGACTTAAAAATTAAATTTGATAATCTCAACTTTTGATTTCACTATGAGTCCTAACATTTATTGGGACTAATTACTTATTCAATGATTGAGATTATTAAGTCTAATTTTTAAATCCATATGACATCACTCTTTATTAATCGAAAATAAAAAGTGTGGGATGACCCCCACCTGCCCCAAGGGCAGGCACCAGGAAGTTACATTTTGCACGAATCTGTCAGAAAAGTCAATGCGTAAAAGAAACTACACCATGCTTTTCTCACCAAAAAAACTTCGAAAGAAAGACACAAAAAAAAAACATTGACTTAGGCAACAAGAAAAAACACAACATAAGCACCACAAACAACAATGATGATAACCACAAGATCCTTACAATGAAAAAGAAAAACAGAAATCATCAAAAGCGTAGATTTTTTTCACAAACTAAAACTGCTTTATTTTGTATCATCAGCATATCGAAGAAACAAGAGACATCCCCGGAGGCACAATTAATGTTCTGCTCTTCACTTAACTATCAGCAAAGGAAAACTTGATCAAATTACCGTTGTTTTGTAATTTTTTTTTTTTTTGTCTTGATTTCAATTGTAATTCTTAATTTAGCGTTGTTTACATGAAAGAGTGATAATAAACCTACATGTGCATGCCTTTATGTAAAACACATTTTTAAGATTTTTTATTGAATAAGTATATTTTTACATTAAAAAACATTAGTTCAACCCAATGTTTTATATAAACAACGATGGAGTCTGAAAAAATATTTAAAAAATATATATATAATACAGTCCAAAAAAATACCCTTCTACAAACAAGATTGTGGCACAAGCTGACATAGCGCTTGATGGTGAAACAAACGAATCACAAACCAGCAAGATCAGGGTCTGCCTTTATCCCAACAATAGGAATTTAGGTCCTATTTATCATTCAGATGCAAGGGTATCACTTTATTCGGCCAGTATTGGCCTTCACATTTACCTGAGTTGCAGGAAGTTTCATGTTTTTACCACGGCGACCTGAACATGTTTAGCTATTTAATTATACTTCACTGAATTACACCCCCCCCTCCCCCTCTTCCCTCTCCTGCATCTTTAATTTCCATGTTTGAAATCTTCAAAAACTTCAATCTAATTGTGTGGTATATGGTAGAACCTTAGAACCTTAATCTCTAACCAACTACCTGATATGGAAGAACTGGATATATATTCAAGTAGGATGTACATCCGTAAGCAGTCNAAACAAGAGACATCCCCGGAGGCACAATTAATGTTCTGCTCTTCACTTAACTATCAGCAAAGGAAAACTTGATCAAATTACCGTTGTTTTGTAATTTTTTTTTTTTTTGTCTTGATTTCAATTGTAATTCTTAATTTAGCGTTGTTTACATGAAAGAGTGATAATAAACCTACATGTGCATGCCTTTATGTAAAACACATTTTTAAGATTTTTTATTGAATAAGTATATTTTTACATTAAAAAACATTAGTTCAACCCAATGTTTTATATAAACAACGATGGAGTCTGAAAAAATATTTAAAAAATATATATATAATACAGTCCAAAAAAATACCCTTCTACAAACAAGATTGTGGCACAAGCTGACATAGCGCTTGATGGTGAAACAAACGAATCACAAACCAGCAAGATCAGGGTCTGCCTTTATCCCAACAATAGGAATTTAGGTCCTATTTATCATTCAGATGCAAGGGTATCACTTTATTCGGCCAGTATTGGCCTTCACATTTACCTGAGTTGCAGGAAGTTTCATGTTTTTACCACGGCGACCTGAACATGTTTAGCTATTTAATTATACTTCACTGAATTACACCCCCCCCTCCCCCTCTTCCCTCTCCTGCATCTTTAATTTCCATGTTTGAAATCTTCAAAAACCTCAATCTAATTGTGTGGTATATGGTAGAACCTTAATCTCTAACCAACTACCTGATATGGAAGAACTGGATATATATTCAAGTAGGATGTACATCCGTAAGCAGTCTCTGAGGTAAATTATAGCTTTGCTTCAAGAAGAATCGAAGAGTAGGCAGCAACATTGTATGTTTTGCCAAGGCCAGGAACACCTTCAGTGACAAAATCATCAGGACTCTCGAGATTAGTGTCCACCTGCAATTAACATCATGGATAGTTGGCTTAAAATCCAAAGTAGAGGAATAAGTAGGGATTAATCTAGCCAACTCTTGAGAGTAAAGGAGGAGGAAATCACTATTCTACTAGTAATACTTCACTCCCTTAGTGAGAAGAGTCTGTACCTTACATCAAGAGATTAGAGAGGCGTCTCACTCATAGCTGATTGGTTTTGATTTGGATGTCCTAACATGGTACCAGAATTGAGTCTTGATTTTCATTTGAATGTCCTCACATGTCATCAGAATTGGGTCTTGATTTTCGTTTGGATGCCTTAACCTATATGAATTTTTTGGTATATTTGTCTATAAATTTTGATTCAATTTGTTAGTCCGTGAGGGAGTTTAGATCACACATCGAAAGATTAATGCCATCCATGGTTAATGTATATGGTTGATGGGCTACTACCCCCATAACCAATTTTGGATTGGATGTTCTAAAAATAAAACAAAAAACTATACAAGATACGTTCAGTTGGACAGCAACATCAATGGCAGAACATAAAATACATTTGAATCTAATGAAGTGAAGAAAACTAACCACTCGGAACCAACGTCTTTTTTCTGGGGGTGAGGGTATCACAGCTTTAACAGAGTAGTCATGCGCATTGAATGCCAAGTAGATGTCTCTTCCATCGTCATCATGAAGACTGTAAAACACATGGTTCGATATAAGTGCTTCCATAGTACACAAATGGCAAGATATTTGTGTTCATAAACTTCTTGACCGAGTCAAAAACATTTTTGTCAGGGTCAATCAGTATGATCAGGATCTAGTTGTAAAGTTCATGCAATCACATGTTTCAGACTCAAATTATTTCCGTAACTATTCATCTACATTCAATGGAGGAATATCTTACGTAAATGCAAGGAATTTGCTATCACAATTGTCCCAGTTATCCTCGTGCCATGTCACCTCGTTCTGCATAATTAAAAGTATCTGATGAGCTTTAAAGTGAGTCACATAAATGAAAGTGGCTTATTAAAACTGCGAAGAAAGAAATCAAAACTGATAACCTAGTCCGATTATAAACATTCTTCTGCTTAATTCATATGTTGCAGACATAAAAGATCGTCGTTATCATGATTCCAGAAATTCAAGCATTACTACCACTTCATGATGTGTGCCAGTTATCCTGATGCCACCAAATTACTAGAGGTAATAATGATCAGTGTGATACCACAAGAAGCAAGATAGAAGAGAGGGTGTACATCTGTATGAACCATTCAGATTATGTTAAAAACCCATGTAGGACACAACAGACTGTAGGATATGGACAAATGTTGAACACCTTAATATAGACATATACTCGCAGAGTCACAGTAGGTGTATCCCTCGAAGGAAAGTGCTAACATACTTGCACTGTATTTCCTCAGAGAAAATTCCTAAATATGCTTCTTTATTGCATTGAAATTTCAAAACGAATGAAATTGCCATGAAACAAATATTGAACTCAGGTATTTCAACATTAAAAAGGATGAATTTAAAAAAGAAGAGAAACACATAGGCCATAGTAAAAACACCTATCATTGGGGCCAGAGAAAACGCCCTAATAGTGAGTGACTTGCATACAGAAGATGGAAATAATTACCTTGCATATAAAATGCTCCCTTCCGAAGACATGATGTGTTTGACGAAATTTTATCATCTCCGCAAAAAACCTGAAGTGATTCTTCTCCTTCGCATCCAACTGTCATGTTGAACGATCATACCTTTAGTTATACTCTCATACAGAATACAACAAACAGGAAGAGGAATATAACATTATACTGCATGCCTGTCCCCACTGGAAATGGTTAATAGCAGTATCATGTCCATAACTGTTGTTATTTCCATAGCGAGTGTGGCCATACTCATCCCCCATAAGCATCATTGGTGTTCCCTAGCAACAGAGTCAACAGACAACCATTTATGTACACCAAACTCAAAAGCCAACCAAGATTATGAAGACTGCACACCCACAGACTGTTCTACGAAAACTCACATGTAGGAATACAGCTTATGCAGCAATAAAGAGACAAATAAATGACATAATATATCTCGTAAATATACCTGGGATATCATTAATGCCACATGGAAGTTTTTCATTTGACGGGAACGTAGCGCCTTGACATTGGTATCAGCAGTTTCCCCTGTCCAGTAAACACAAAAGGAGAGATTGACCTCGCTGGGTACTTGATATGGAAAACTGAAACCCTTTAGAAACAAATGCAACACTGTAAATAGACTCTAGTAATCTACCTACGGAAAGGAGTTGTCAAATCCAAGAAACTTCTAATACACTAGATTCAAACGAAATGTCGACCCAACCAGAATAAATAAAGCAAATGTCAATGCATAGAGCTAAAATCCCACCCAAAATGGAATATGTTAGGTATACCAATAAACACGTGTGCTTTACACACTACGATAAGTTAGCAAAGCAGGATTCGTGATACAATAGAATAAAGTACTGAGTAAAAAGATGGCCACCAAAATGTTGCCTATGCAATTGGACCATATATGCATATAAAGAAAGAGAAAGTACTAAACAGGATAATAGTAAATAAGGACTCCGTTGAGCTTATGAGTCCCCCATGGAATAGGCCAACTACTGAGTACATTAAAATTTCAACAGCATAAACCAAGTGGGAAAAAAAGTGAAGTGAAATAACTAGACTCTACCTTCGGATCCACAGTTCCAACTAAAATTGTCGCTGCTTCCATCATTTCCACCTTCTCCATTAGCATCATTATGCTACAATATCAACAAAAAGACGACACCTATCAAGTTTACAGTTCACATAGAACAAATCCGGGGGGGTGGAAAACAAGATGTCTGAACTTTAAGTAATACCTTTACATTATATGAAACAAGATCATACAGCGTAAACCCATCATGTGCAATGACAAAATTCACACTATGGTATGGCTTGCGCTTATTTACCTGTAAAAAGTTAGAAACAACCACATTCCAAATAGATTAACAGCATTGCTACAGATTCAGTCAATGGCTTTGTGAACAAAATGTCTGAAAATGGGCGAGACAGAGAAGTTTACTGAACTAAGAGAGAATGATAATGCAACCCAACAGACAACTCCTTGTACTAAGAGCAATCATACACTCATATTTCAAAAAAAATCCCAGCAGTAACTCTTCAATAAGTGATGAGTCCATCTTCAACATGAGCTACATGTTTTGACTGTTACTGTTACTTTCCTGTTATGTTCTACTTTCTTAATATTGTAATTGTCTTCAATATCAACCAATTGTATATAGTTGATAGGGTGTAGGCAATACACACCTTATACAATATTGTTTCATAATCTCTCCTGCCTCCTTCCACTTTCTTTCTTTCTTTTCTTTTCTTGAATCCTATAATACAATTATTCAAGTTTCCACTTGGTATCAGAATTGGATCTTGAGTGGTGGGTGGACCAAATCTCTCACCCAATTGAATTTTTTGGTATGTTTCATTACAGTTACATGAGAAAGGGTGTAAAGAAAGCTATCTTACATCAAAAAATTAAATAGACCCAAGGTCGGTTTATATACTTGAGGGGTCAATCCACCCATTGCCAATTAGTAGTGGGTCTGATGTGCAAATATTACAAGATCCACCATGTCAATGGCCCAATAGCTAAAAGGATGCTACAGATTGGACAAAGCTAAAACCATGCTATCCACAGATATGGAAGACTTCACTCAGTATCTCAGAATAAACATCTCAACCACAATCTCAAGTTCTTGAGCAGTAAAATACATGCAATGCAATATGATCAAAAGAAATCAAGGTTAATTGAACTTGATCCCTAAAGTGGTGGCCATGGTCTATATAACATATCTTACAAGTTTAGCAGCACCATTAATTAGCAAAAAGAAAGGCAAAAACAATTGAGGAAATAAAAAACATCCAATAGCAACTCAAGGAAGACATNAAGTGGTGGCCATGGTCTATATAACATATCTTACAAGTTTAGCAGCACCATTAATTAGCAAAAAGAAAGGCAAAAACAATTGAGGAAATAAAAAACATCCAATAGCAACTCAATGTAGACTTATAGACAAAAAATGATTACTTTGTATAAATCAGCAGAACCAGCAACTCGAGTTGCAAAGTTCCCTTTCATACCAGCATCACCCTGCAGTTCAATCATTTCCAAATAAATGAGTCAAAACAAGCCTCCAGACATTTAACCAAGTATATAAATGCATTTTCCTGGAAAAATACCAGATTGGGTCAATTTGGATGATGCAAGGAAGAAACTAGCATAGAATGCCTTATTGAAAGAAAAGCTGAACTACATTGAATATACAGATAAATGGAAACACTCGATTCTTGAAGATTGTCTACATATAAGAAATTTGGAGAATATTGTGCACAGTCATTCAATTCCTAAAACTCTACAGAAGACTTGGTAACCAAAATCTGTAACCAAAGACAGAAAGTTACTTTGTAAATCCCGACCAGTATGCCATAGCATCAACCAGTAAATAGACCGAATCCATTTGGCCGTTGCCCTTCCACAAATCAACCTTTTTCTCTTAAGTTGAACAAGCTTAAAGCATCCATTTGAATGAACCAACTTGTTATACCTCTCGAATTTTTTATTTACAGAAGACTTTTCATTCTATATATTCCACACATACCTAGATATCCCTATCCGTCAGCCTTAGGGAGATGCCCCACTATAAATTGCAGTTATGGGAGAAAATTCAAGGAGTTCAATTCCTTACAGCTCGTGTGCAGATTCCAAGCTGGCTAAGCAATTGGGTATTTATTGTATATATGTGTTTTAATAATCAAATAAAACTCTCTAAACCAAACACTTTGTATTTGGTACGTTAAAGCAATATATTGTATGCAGCTAAATGCCATCTATGAAGCTCTCAAGCCACTCTGAGCTCTAAAATAGTCAAAATTTGTTGTAATGGATCACTTGCTCCTTTTATTGTTCTGCAATTAGATGTATTTACTTGAGTGCTTACGTTAAATGTGAGAATCTAAAAAGTAAAATCCCATAAAAGCAAACCTACAATATGAACTGTGTTTTGTGACACCGGCTCAAAATAGTAATTCTTTTCATATAATAATTATTCACTGATAAAAAACTTTCATTCCTCAATAGTGGCCTTTATTTACTCATGTTGGAGTTATAGACTAGTTATTAGGATTTTTTTTAACTTTTTACCTATTTTGCCCTTATTATGATTTTTTTGTCTTAAACAGATTAGAAGGGTATTCTTGTCAGTTACACTTTTATTTGGCTATATATACAAGGCTCTACACTCAGTTTGTATATTTTTTTTACTCCAAATAAATTCTAGTTGGTATCAGAGCCAGCCAAACCCTAATCTTTCCTAACTCTAACCTTAACCCTAACCCTAGCCGCCAAACCCTAACCTTCCCGCCACTGCCTGCCACCTTGCGCACCCTTTCCCGCCGTTGCAGACATGGTTCAAAGTATCGGCCGAGTCCGAGTCAACTCGGCCGAGTCGTATCCGTCTCGGCAGTTGCCGATCCGATAACGATACACGGTACATTAATATAACGAGATTCAACTGAATCGGTTACAACTCGGTGGTATCGGCTCAACTCGGAACTAAATCGGTTATACTCGGTCGAGTCGAACCGAGTCAGACCGCTATGGTGTATTTGGAAAATCTGGGTAGCAAAACCCAAAAAAAAAAAACAGAGCAAGGAAGAAGAAATTGGGTGAGACTCACAGTGAGCCGACTCCAACTCAGCACAACTTGGCTGATTCGCATATAATAGATCACAAATATTGAGGAAATTCCAAAAAAAAAAAAAAAAGAAAGAGATGAAGTATAAAAAGACCCAGAAAATCGAAGAATCACCGTGATCAGAAGGCCTCTTTTTCTTCTTCTTCTTTCGGTGGAGGCCCATAGCAGAAACCCTAAGTTTACAGATCAAAAAATCTTCAATCGTTCCTTATTGTTCGCTTCTTTCGGTGGAGACCCATAGCAGAAACTTTCATTCGCTTCTCGCTAGCGCTCTTTGTCTGTCTCTCTCTTTCTCTCGTGATCGAGAGGCAAGGAGAAGACAACACAGACCACACACAGTGTTTATATTTTATGGGCCACTCACCTTTCGTTTGCTTTTTGTCCTTAGACACGTGTTTATATTTTATTGACCCTTACCCCTTTATGTATCAAAAATCTCTAATTCAATTAGTAAATTATTGAAAAAAATAATTAGGAGAAAAAATAAAATAAAATTAGAACAATGACTCATTAATTTATTAATTGAACACAAAATTATTCATGTAAAATATTGAAATCTACTCATACTTGTCAAATTTATAATTTATGGATACATATTTGCTGTTTTTATTTTTATTTTTATTTTTTTTAAAATTAGATACTAGTCAGTTAAAAAAATTATAATAACATATGTTTAAAATTTAGTGTGTTTTTAAATAAAAACATTCAACCTAAATGATGGCAAATATTTTCAGTAGCGTCCTTATAATTCATTTTTATTATGTTTAATATGTTAAATAATGTATTTTTGGGATATAATGCATGAATGATGATATTTACATATTTTTAAAATTTTTCATGATTTTTTTATATTTTTTTGGGTCTTCAATGTAGCGTTTTGAGCGTATCGGCCGATACGACGCTGCGACACCGCGACCGATGTGTCTCAGTGCCCTTTGAGTCGATGACCGATACCGCGACTTTGAACCATGGTTGCAGAAGCCTCCAACACCCCTTCCCACCAATGTAGGAGTCTCGCGCACCCTTTCCCACCAACGCTGCCACCTCATGCAACCCTTCCCGCTAATGCCGCCAGTCCTCCATCTTACGCAACACAATGCCAGTCCCTAGGGTGCGCTAGGGCAAACTCACCCTAGGGATTTTTAGAGAGGTTGGATCCTCTCCGTTCATCTACTTTTGATGCAATAGATCATCTATATATTTTTCTAGATTTCTTGGTGCCGTGACCTATTATTTTGAGAGTTTTCTGGACCTCTTATTCATCTCTATTGTTCAACTGGGGATATATTGTTCTCCCTTATTTTACTCTATTTATTTTTAGAATAATTTCTATCATGGTTGCCACATTGTTATTGTTGTTATGGCCACTGGTAAGGGACTTGAGAGCTCTACTGTTGGTACTTCCACTAAGAGGTACCAACCATTTCTGCAAGGACTAACCCTTCCACATTTATGTTTGACCAATATACAATACCTACTAGCACAATTGCATTACTGAGGATGTCAGGCATAATCTCTCAGAAAGTTACGGCACAGTTATTGAATAGTTGTAATTTTGCAGAGTGGTCACGCTCGTTTCAGCTCTTTTTAGGGTGTGCTAGAAAGCTTGGTTGGCTAACTGGCTCGCACTTGAAGCCAATTGATGACAACCATAGATATTCTACGTGGTTGTCCGAGAACTGCGGTATTCTTGGATGGTTATTTGGATCTATGGAGCCATCTGTTTGCAGGATTTTTCAGTTTCATAATTCTGTTCTAAAGCTATGGAGTGCATCATTAGAGATATATTCACAGTTAAGTCATAGAGTTCTCAAGAGCTCTCATATGCTCGACAAATAGATATGACACTTCAGAACTACTATGACTATTTGACTCAACGCTGGCTTGAGTATGAGATTCTACGTCCTCTTACAACTATTCTGAGGATAGAGCCTGAGAGAGCGGAATTTCTACATACTCGAGAGTAGGAGGATAAGATTCACAAGTTCCTTATAGGGCTTCATGATAAGTTTAAGGGACCTCATTCCTAGATATTGTCGATGTTTAGGCTTCCTTCTCTTTATGATGTTTATTCTATGATGAAGCAAGTGTTGCTTCCGTATTGCATCACTTCCAGTTGCGACCTTGACTCTTGAAGCCGACCAGATAATCCTTGCAACTGTTGCAAGATCTCGCTCAGGACCCCCAGTCATTGGTGGACATTGTCCAGACCAGCGCTGACTAGGCACTCCAAACCAGCGCAAACAAGGCGATTCTCACCGGTGTGATTATTGTGGTTAATCAGGGCTGTTTGCTATCCCGAGCGTAAGTCGCCTCATCATACTCCTCGAGACCGTACTACTGCTATTACTGAGGAACCACCATCTACTATTAGGGGTGTCAAACGTATCGGGTTAAACAGTTACGTGACAAGTTAAACAGGTGACGGGTGAAAAATATACAAACCCGTACACGACACATTTAATAAATGGATAAAAATTCTCAACACGAATACGACTCATTTAATAAACGAGTAACACGACACGACTCGCTTAACCTGTTTAATTTTTAAAAAATTATATTAACAAATTTTAATACTCCACTTTTTTTTTATTGTCAATTACACTTACCTCAAAAATAAAAAAATTTTAACCAAACCTCATAAAAATAAGACTTTAAGGCCTAGAAAAAAAAGCAAGAGACCATTACTTTTTATAGGCAACTCAACTCTCCCCATCTCCCCTCATTTTTCAATGTGGGACAAAAACAAAAGACATTGATTTGCCTTTGTCTTTGAAGTGTTCCTCATCTCCTCTCTTTTGTCTTTGAACTACTACTTTATTTTATTTTTTTTATTAATTTCTTTACTTCTTTTTTTCTTGTTAATTTTTTAAAATAATTATTAATTTATTATTATATTAATTTTATTTAAACGGATAAACGTGTCATAAACGATTTGACAGGTCTCACCCGAACACGACCTGTTTATTAAACGTGTTTGGCGTGTCAACCCGTTTATCACCTAAATCCATTAAGATCTCACCAAAACCCGCTTAATTTGTGTCGATTCGTGTCGGTTAATCGTGTCGTGTCGAAATTTGACACAATCCTACCTACTACTACTGTCCCTACAACTACTGCTTCTCTTTGGCAGAGCAATGCTAACTTTTAGATTGGATATGCTTATGTCTGCTATGACTTCTCAAGGTCTTATTATTGCTGCTGCGACTATTACAGGTATACCTCGTGCCTTTCATGCTCGCATCGGTCCTTCTCCTCTTTGGATGCTACATTTGAGTGTGAATGACAGGTGAAGCTCATCATTTCACTATTTTAGATGAGCAGTTACACACACAAGTTCAGTTAGCAGATGAAACACATGCCCCTATTATTAGTAGAGTACAGTTTGCCTTCTAGATAGCCTTACAATACATTATATTTTTCATGCGCTAAAACTAGCCATGAATCTATTATTTATACATCAATTAGCCAAATATTTTCATTGTGCAGTAGTGTTCTTATCTGATTCTTGTTATTTACAGGACTTGAGTACTAAAAGGATTGTTATCAAGGGACATAAGAGAGATGGACTGTACTATTTAGGCAATCCACCTCCAATTCCTCCACCGCCTGCACCTGCTTTATCTTTATTTGTCTTTAGCTTGCATGTTAGTATTTTACCTAATACTTGCCGTGATGATTTTTTATCNACCTGCTTTATCTTTATTTGTCTTTAGCTTGCATGTTAGTATTTTACCTAATACTTGCCGTGATGATTTTTTATCACAAAGTTGTGGCATGACCGTATTCAGCATACAAATTTTAAATATTTATGTATGCAATTTCCTATTTTGAGTAATACTTGTGCTAGTGGTAAACTTGATTGTGTTATATGTTCACTATCTAAACATGTGAGGACCCTCACATGCACTAGTCTCTTAGGCCATTTGACCTAATATACTCTGTTATTAGGGACCCTCGCCCATTACTGCTTTGTCAAGTGCCCGATATCATAGATGACCATACCCATTGTACTTGGATATACTCCATGTTATCACTCAATTTCAACATATAATTAAGACACAATTTGATGTCATTGTTTAAGCTCTTCGTTCAGATAATGCCAAAGAATATGTATCTGATGCCTTAATGTCTCACCTTTTTTTCCGACGTATCCTTCAATAACTCATCTGCCCATATACTACTAAACAAAATGAAGTTACTAAAAGAAAAAATAAGAATATGATATGGATAGTAGGTTGTATACTTAGAGGTATGGGAGTGCCCAAGTCTTATTGGCATTTTGTAGTTATGAATTCTACCTTCCTATGCAATTGCACACCAAGTCGTGTTATTCAACATAAGGTTCCATTACAGGTCTTATTTCCTGAACGAATACTTTTTTTGGTCCCTCCTCACATTTTTGGATGTACATGTTTTGTTCAGGATCAGTCTCCCACTCGTCGTAAACTTGATGATAAAGTTATTCGTTATGCCTTTGTAGGCTATTATCAACAGTCTAAAGGCTATCGATATTATGATCCAATCTTTTGTCGTATGTATCAGTCTAGATGTTATATTTCTTGAGCACGTACCTTATTTNCGATATTATGATCCAATCTTTTGTCGTATGTATCAGTCTAGATGTTATATTTCTTAAGCACGTACCTTATTTTTTTGCTTTTGATGTGAAGGACCTTAGATTTCTACTATATTATCTTGGGATTAAGGTTGCACGTAGCAATAGGGATATTATTCTCTCTCAGAGGAAGTACGTTCTGGATCTTCTCACGGACATTAAGATGCTAGGGTACAAACCGTATCATCACCTATGATTCCAAACCTGAAGCTTACTGCTGAAGATGAGAAATTGAGAGATCCGACTACTTATTAGCGGTTGGTAGGCAGCCTTATCTACCTAGCCAACACTAGGCCAGACATTTAATTTGTCATCAGCCGGGTTAGTCAGTTCATACATTAGTCGTGTCAGTCTCAATCGAATGCGGTATATTATATTCTTCAGTATCTCAAGCCTTGTCCTAAACTTGGGTTGTTATATACATCGGGATCTCTGACTGATTCTCTAACCTGTTATTCAAATTTAGATCATGGAAGAGCTTGTGATGGTTGATCTACTACGGACTTTTGTACTTTTCAAAAGTCTCATCTTATCTCTTGTAAAAGCAAGAAGCAGACAGTTGCCTCCCGTTCATCAACAGAGATAGAGTATCGAACACAGGCGCTTGGTACAGGTGAGATTATCTGACTACGATCTATTCTTGGTGACTTGGGATTTCTAGNGCAGTTGTCTCCCGTTCATCAACAGAGATAGAGTATCAAACACAGGCGTTTGGTACAGGTGAGATTATCTGACTACGATCTATTCTTGGTGACTTGGGATTTCTAGTGACTTCTCCATCTACATTCTATTATGATAATCGATCTGCTATTCAACTCACTTCTAACTCTTTATTACACGAGAGGACGAAGTATATAGAGATCGATATTCACTTTCTTCAGAAGAAGGTCAGCTGCGGTATTGTTACCCCATCGTTTGTGGAAACTAGTAATCAAGTTGCGAATGTCTTCACTAAACCTATCACTCTATCCATTCTCCGGAACTCCATTATCAAGCTTTGCTTAATTGACATATTTGCACCTAACTTGAGGGGGAGTGTTAGAGTTATANCTTCAGAAGAAGGTCAGCTGCGGTATTGTTACCCCATCGTTTGTGGAAACTAGTAATCAAGTTGCGAATGTCTTCACCAAACCTATCACTCTATCCATTCTCTGGAACTCCATTATCAAGCTTTGCTTAATTGACATATTTGCACCTAACTTGAGGGGGAGTGTTAGAGTTATAGCCTAGTTATTATTTTTTTTTTTTTGCTTTTTATCTATTTTGCCCTTACTATGATTTTTATGTCTTACCTAGATCAGAGGGGTGTTCTGATCCGTTGTATTCTTATTTGGCTATATATAGTGCTCTACACTCGGTTTGTGCATTCCTTTTACTTCCAATAATTTTAGTACTCACAAAGTAGTAGCCTTGAAAAATAGGACCAANGGATGTTTTTTTTGCTTTTTATCTATTTTGCCCTTACTATGGTTTTTATGTCTTACCTAGATCAGAGGGGTGTTCTGATCCGTTGTATTCTTATTTGGCTATATACAGTGCTCTACACTCGGTTTGTGCATTCTTTTTACTTCCAATAATTTTAGTACTCACAAAGTAGTAGCCTTGAAAAATAGGACCAAAGCTATGGGGTATTGTGATTTACTAAGTACTAACAACAAGCAAGAAGAGGAGAGAGGAGGAGAGAGAGGAGAGAAATATAGGACAACGTACAAAAAGGACAAATAGTTAAATCTATTCTAAGAATCAAAGTATTTTGTAGGACACAACTCTACTTTCAGTTGAAGATATGTAGGTGGCAGAAAGAAATCAGTGGATCATATGATTTTTACATACATAATGAAGCTAAATCTCTACGAAAGGAAAAGGTGATATCTCTACTAAAAGAAAATCAGGTTAGTATAATACCACATTGAACAAATTGACTTTAAAGATGTGGAACTAAACATTTTAGACAAACACATTAAATAAGCTGAAAGAAATTTTGNTGTAGGTGGCAGAAAGAAATCAGTGGATCATATGATTTTTACATACATAATGAAGCTTAATCTCTACGAAAGGAAAAGGTGATATCTCTACTAAAAGAAAATCAGGTTAGTATAATACCACATTGAACAAATTGACTTTAAAGATGTGGAACTAAACATTTTAGACAAACACATTAAATAAGCTGAAAGAAATTTTGACACTCCTTATATATCCTAGGTTTACACTTCACATGCAGATCTTCCTTAATTTTCCGTTCTTGTTGTTTTATTGCTTTTAATTGGTTCAGGTACTTTATGGCTGCTCTTATGCTATCCCTGAATTAATGTGGACAATTTTTAACTAATCTATGACAACATAGCGTGTTTCTCCAACTGGCATCACCTTAATAAATCTTCTTATATCATCACGGTACTTCCCATTCCACTCAGCCCACCTGCATAAAACAAATAAAGTTCATTAACCAGTCTGGACCCAGTTAATCAAGGGTACTGGGAGGAGTGGATGGGTACAATGATAAATAAATACACAAGTTACGAAATGACTTTAAAATTGAGGTGCTCACCAATGAAAGAGAAAATTGAAATAAATAGGCAAATAAAAGAATGTAATGTGGTTTATGGTTCCCTGGATGGAAAGATCCGCTACCAATGCAAAAATCAGCCCATTTAGAGAAAATTGGAGTTCAATTTTTTCCTCCAAATTTTCAAATGTTTAAAAAATTTGCCTTTCTCTGAATCTGATATTGTGTGACGATGATATTGATTCAACAATTGGGCACGTGTGGCACCACATAGTGCAGTAAGCACTGGTGTTCATGATGAAAACTCATAACAACATGATGTGAAATGTTTAGGCTAACCCTTAAACTCCAGCTTATGGTGAGCCACTGTAATATTTGTATGCTAAAAGTTTCGAACATGCATAAAAGTAATATCCAAATAAGTTTTAGATAAATGCCCTGGAGGTGCTATTAACTTTATTCTAGAAACCGATGCTGTCAGGCTTTGCACCATGTATTGGTCACCTTAATGTGGTTCAGCCACTAGACAAAGAAAATATAATGCAAAATACGTATTGAGCTTTAACAATTTTCTTCAGATCCACCATCAGTGCATTCAAAGTAAAGACAATACAAAAATATATTAAATATGAGATTGAAAATCCAGTGAAGAGATGATATCGTAGAATTAATCTCATGATATCCTAACCAACCAACTCACTCTTGATATATAGTAGCCAAACTCCTCTGCATTACAATTAAAACAACCACCGTTCAATTCAAATCTTTCATATCGTCAACTGAAATCATTGTCATAGACAGCACTTATTTCTGCAGTGATAATATCCTCTCAAGGTAAAAAATTATTGTGGAACCTTGGGATTGTGGTTGTTGGAGGATTTCCAAATTGGGGAGGTCTGCAATGATATACCATAGAGCACTCTCGAAGTCCAAACTATTATTGCTGCAATGATTGCTCTCTCTCAATGCACTCTCTTTTTTTTGAACGGTTCAATGCACTCTCTCAAACTACTAAAAAAGCTACAAGGTTTGGTATTTGCATCCCAAACTGATCTTTCAATCTTCCGAACATAGTCCTCATTATTTTTCATGGAAAAGCATCCCAATCTCGATTATCATTTGAAAAAACCTGATGGCAAGTGAATACCCATAATACAATTGAGCAGATCGACCAACGATGACAATGATTGTAATTGAGCAGATATATTCTTTGACTATCTTTGATCCATGACCCAAATAATAAAGCTCCACAGCAGAATTAAAGCCAATACAAAGAATAATGATTACTACATCTACTATTTCAGAGACCAAACAAAAAACTTTGATAACATAATGTTCACAGATATTACCGGTCCCAATTTGGAAATCCTCCAACAAGATAAAGACCTGCACAATCCCAAGGTTCCGCAATAATTTTACACCTCGAGAGTATATTATCTTTTGTGATTGCCTGTTCCATTAAAGAAAAGCAACAATACATGTAAAAGACACTACAATGAATCCCTTTCCTTACAAAACAGCATATAACAAAACCAATTTGTCTTGTACAACCAAGCAGTCTCATTGACCCAACTACAGTTACAGTAATAGATGCCGGGGCATCAATGATGCAAGTCTACAGGCTTCCTAATGACAAATAATTAAAGATTAGTACATAAATGTTACCACTACAATACAGTTACAGAAAATACACAATNACAATAAAGATGCCGGGGCATCAATGATGCAAGTCTACAGGCTTCCTAATGACAAATAATTAAAGATTAGTACATAAATGTTACCACTACAATACAGTTACAGAAAATACACAATGTAGCAATCAGGACCACATGATGCCACAAAGGGATTTCTCTATTTCTTTTGGCCAAGAGACAAAAAACGAAGATGGTTCAAAGATGTTGGGCTGAGAGAGGATGAGGAAATTTGCATTATATTTGTTGCATTACAATTGGCCAATTAGAAGTATTTGAGATACAGAAGCCCAATTTCCACATTTGGATAACAAGTCAATCTCTGAAGCTCGTTCAGCATATACTTAGCTCCTCCTACTCCTATGTAACTTCATGCAAAGCTTCATCCAGATGACGCCTGACCATTCATGCCCATCTATCTATAACTAATATGGATACTCCTATAAAGCTTCATGTAAATCTTTATCTTGTTGCTACCGGACGACTTCTGTTACTACTCTCTGTGTTAGCCTGATTGTATTCTGTTTTTTTTTTTTTTTTGAACTTGTTTGTAGTCTGGTTTACCTTGCCTAGCTTACAATCTCTATTGAATAGAGACAAAGCTNCGGACGACTTCTGTTACTACTCTCTGTGTTAGCCTGATTGTATTCTGTTTTTTTTTTTTTTTTTGAACTTGTTTGTAGTCTGGTTTACCTTGCCTAGCTTACAATCTCTATTGAATAGAGACAAAGCTTACACTGTTCACTCAATTAGTAGATGTGGTGATTGTGTAGAATGAGAAAAGGAAAGCAAAAAGAAACAAAAAAAATGGAAAAAGAAAGGTAAAAAGGGTTATTCAAGTGGCACCAAAACAAACTTCCGAGTATACTTATTCCTTAAAAATGATGCTATGGCAGAGTCCTATGCAATACATAATCAAATGCATAGATGACATACCCTGATAAGTGGAGGAGCATTAAGTGGAGAACCATCTGTTCCTCGACAAAGAACACTGGCAAGATCGAAGCGAAAGCCATCCACATGATACTCAATGACCCTTCAGTTGGTTAAAAGAAAAGTTACAAACGTAAAATGTATAAACAACAGATATATTGGTAATTAATGACAGCACAGAAAACTAGTGATTGCATCCAATATATTATATAGCATAGCAAGGAAGTGTCACCAAAACGATATTACCTATGGCAACAATCAAATAGTAAGTCAAAGAAATGGGGAAAAAACTCATCCCCAGCAATCACATCAGTATATCCAACCTTATTACAGGTCATGGAACCAACAAGAAAATCCAATAATGTGTGATGTATATAATGGCAAAAGATCCTCCGAAGCCTACACTAATTACAAAGGAATTTGGATCAACTGGATAGCTTCAACTGGTCAGTTTGTCAAATAAATGAAAGAAAAGGAGAAGGGAGAAAAAAGAAAAAAAAAACACTCTGAAAGAAGGCGAAATATTCATGTGAGGAACTAGTGGATATCTATCCAGATGTACGGAATCCTTGTTGTATCATGATCATAAAACAATTATATGTCTTGCATGGGCATAGGAATCGCCAAACAAAATCACCAGAAAAACTTCATCAAACAACTTCAAAAGAACAGTTCATACCAGTGCCTTAAGCTGTCAAGTATAAGTTCCATGACCACAGGATGGTTACAATTTAATGTGTTTCCTGGGTATCAACAAAAAAGAGCATGTGAGAGCGCTTAAAACATTCAAAATAAAAATAACTGGTAACATGAAAAGGGAGTCCCGTATCCCCTTTAGCACAAAAACATGCAATTCTGATCTCTGGTCTTAAAAATTCAGGAAAATCATACTCACCTTGGAACAGAAGGTAGAGACCTTGATGACTTCTTTTGTTCAATGAAATTCAGTATTATCAAAGATTAAATAGATGTTGCTTGACGTGGTCATCCAATCATGATTTACATGGCATTTGAAATAGTTGAATTAATAAAAAGCTAGATTAGGTTTCCAAGAAATAGGGAAGATATGAGAGGCAAAGGAAGAAACAGAGAATAATATGTAGCGTAGTTTTATGTTGTCCTACACTTATTTATAATTGTGTAATATTAGAGTAATTATAATATTACCCTACACAACCTAACTTAAGTCTAATATATAAAATAAGAACTATAACACAAAATAACACTCCCCTTCAAGCTGGAGCCTACAGATCAGAAATGGCCAGCTTGGAACATAAACTACTAAAGGTGGACCGAGCCAATGGCTTAGTAAGAATATCACCCAGCAGATTACCAGATTTGATATATAAAGTGATGATCTCCTTTCGCATCAAGAGATCTCAAATGAAATGACAATCCACGTCAATGTGTTTGGTAAGCTCATGAAATACCGAATTACTTGCAATGAAATAATTGCTTGATTATCACGGTGCATCTTCATAGGGGAATAGATCAAGTCCCATATCACAGAGTAAAGAACAGACCTACAACATCTCAAAGTATGTGCCATAGCACGATACTAGGCCTAGAACGCACAACTACATTCTGCTTCTTACTATGCCAAGTAACAAGATTACCACCAATAAATGTATAATACTCAGACGTAGATCATCTATCACCATGACTACCTGCCCAATCACATCAGAAAAACCACCAGCAGTTATAGATNCGCCAAGTAACAAGATTACCACCAATAAATGTATAATACTCAGACGTAGATCGTCTATCACCATGACTACCTGCCCAATCACATCAGAAAAACCACCAGCAGTTATAGATGATGATGAACAATATAATAAATCCTTTTTAGGAGCCCTTTTCAGATACCAAATTATACGGTAAACAGCCTCCCAATGAGGCTTACGAAGGGCATACATGTCCTAATTAACTACACCAACAACATAGGTGATATTAGAGTGTGTAACTATAAGATAAATCAGTTTAACAAACAATTTCCTATATCACTCTATATCATCAAAGACTTCTCCACTCTCAACTTTACCGTAGGGTCCATAGACGTATCAATCGGATGTGCACCAAGGATACCTATTTCAAATAGTGAGTCTAGTACATACTTTCATTGACACAAATTAATACCCTCCTTTAAGCGGACAACCTCAATCCCTAAGAAGTACCGAAAAAGACCTCAATCCCTAAGTCTAGTATTTGCTTGACGAAGGAAATTTAAATACATCTCTGAACCAAGTGCCTCTTGAATCGAATAATTATTTGATGGGGTCTCTACGCTTCGACTTTATAACATTATCTCTTCAAATCTTTGAACATACTCCATTAAAGATAGGTTGTCTTATTGTAGAGTGACAAGTAATNAAATCTAGTACATACTTTCATTGACACAAATTAATACCCTCCTTTAAGCGGACAACCTCAATCCCTAAGAAGTGCCGAAAAAGACCTCAATCCCTAAGTCTAGTATTTGCTTGACGAAGGAAATTTAAATACATCTCTGAACCAAGTGCCTCTTGAATCGAATAATTATTTGATGGGGTCTCTACGCTTCGACTTTATAACATTATCTCTTCAAATCTTTGAACATACTCCATTAAAGATAGGTTGTCTTATTGTAGAGTGACAAGTAATTTGCATAATTTACCATAATAATTCAAGGGCATATACTTCTTTTGAAACTTGGCTTTCATATGCTTCAATGTGTTGATTTACGATAAACCCAATCTTCGTAAATCTCTTTCAACACCAAGCTATCAAATTTTTGTCAAATCTACAAGTTTCATCTTGCAAACTTCATTCTTCGATTATCCGACATAATATGCCTAAGAAAATACTCTTCAATAGAACTAACCAACAAGAGAATATTGTAGGATCATCTCTTCCTTCAAAATCTAGGATTTCCATTTTCAAATATCAATATTTAAATCACAAAACATATAATTCTTCGCCTCTAATACCAAAACTGATGTAGGACAACAGTGAACCCAAAAAGAGTTAGTAGTTTCAAGTGTTGTGAACAATACCTGTGAACAGTAATCTTGGGGCTAATGGTGTTATTTTGAGGGTTAGGGTCTGATGGATTGAAAGGTAAAACGGTTAATGTTTAAGGATGATGAGTATCTCAGCTTTGATAATGGTGTATAGAACTTGGATGCCTGAGAAAAAATAGAAAATAGAAGACAAAGAAGAAAAGAACTAGGAATCACTCCTAGGGTTCCTTTGGCGTCACTTCTAGGGTTTTGAATTGCATCACACAATCTTCAAAGCATATAATTGCTGAAAATTNATGAGTATCTCAGCTTTGATAATGGTGTATAGAACTTGGATGCTTGAGAAAAAATAGAAAATAGAAGACAAAGAAGAAAAGAACTAGGAATCACTCCTAGGGTTCCTTTGGCATCACTTCTAGGGTTTTGAATTGCATCACACAATCTTCAAAGCATATAATTGCTGAAAATTCTAAAAAAAATCTATCTATATTAAATTAAAGAATTACAGTTTTATATATAGACTTCCATGTATCTCTTAATCTTAAAAGGATTAGGATTCCAAAGACTCTAAATTACTAAAGAGTAGGAAACTAACATAAACTACAATTAGGACTCTAAACTCTAGAAATGTCAAACAATTGAGATTAGCCCAAAAGACGACCATTGGTCCTAATATAACCCATTCCAGCAAAGCCACACAAAAATAATAATACCAACAACCTACCTCAAAATAATTAAAGAATCAGACGCAGAAGATAATTATTCAAGGGGGTCTGTGTCTTGGTTGCAAGTCGTGTCCTTGAATTTATTTTTTCATGAACAACTAACGGACTGCATCAGATGGATCAGGTACAAACCTAACCCTTAAAATTATATGCAAAGAGGATGCCCTTAGGCTCAAATGCAANATGTCCTTGAATTTATTTTTTCATGAACAACTAACGGACTGCATCAGATGGATCAGATACAAACCTAACCCTTAAAATTATATGCAAAGAGGATGCCCTTAGGCTCAAATGCAATTTCTCACACTTGGAACCCCCGGCTTGCACTGTTGCGCCAAGCAATGGACCCCGGCAAAAAATACAAGAAAGAAAAGCTAGAAATTACCACAGCCTGAGAAATTCAGCAACTGCCCCTTATTGTTTAGATCCACCATGTAATAAACCTGTAGAAGGGTTAGAAAACGATATCATTAAGGGAAAAAAAAAAGGAGTAAAACAATCTGCGGCAATACAAAGAAGTGAGAACCAAAACTCAAATTGGGATGCAGATTGGTTTATTTAGTGCTTCATAATAATTACCGGAAAGAACCTCAACCACAAAAAGCATACTTATCTCACGTCCGTGGAAATTCCTAAATCCCAAAAGTGACTACATTCTAAGGACTCGTCTTTGAAACATGGATCTGACTTTAGAGGGTTAGGGGTCCAAAAAGTGAAAAATCCACCATAAGGTCCAAAAAAAGATGGAGTTTAAGAAAAAGAAAATTATCACAAGAAGTAAAACAGAACATGCTGCGTCCAAGAAGGATTCAGAAGTCCACAAAACTGCCTCCATATGTCCGCACAAAATGTTTGTGAAAAGCCTACAGAGAATAAGTTCCTCTTTTGATTTCTTCTTCAAATAATCTGATTTTCAAAATATCACCCGTCTGGCCCTGCTTATGGAATAAAGGTGATGTCACAAAGTTAGGATCTTATCTGAAAAGCAGCTACCTTCCATTATATGTTTCCAAATCTTCCTAGATCTAAGGCTAAACAAAAAGAGACATGTGTTATTTCAATTATCTAACCCCACAGTCTATGACTCTACTAACATTACAGTCTATGTTCCGGCAGTTCTTAAGGTTCCAAAAAGCTACTTTGACAAACTAGTAATCTATTGAGGTAATGGGAACATGTCTCATGACTAGAAGCTTATAAACATTGTTTTCCCATCTAATTTCTTTGGACAGACGAATACAAGAATCCATGTAACAGAAGTGAAAAATCATACCACCAACAGTTTGGAAACAAGAACCATGACTAGTATAGTATATCTTGCAAAAAATTTTAGGTAGAAATGTTAGATAACCTTGTTATCTATGCCACGAAATGATGTAGTATATGGGTTGTCATCATCAGCCTCATTACTATGGTTGTATACGACATCCAAAATGACCTGTAGAAAGTAGAAGCATCACCACATCCTTACAAGCACTTCAAACTATAGGTTTGAAAATCAACAGAAATAAAAATCATACCAACTAATAGGAATCCACTTTCTTAACTGAGGATTAAAGCCTTTAAGTTAAAATGCATACCTCTATTCCAGCACCATGCAAGGCCTTGACCATTTCTTTGAACTCTCGACAAGCTTTAAGTGGTCCTCCACCAGCACTAGCGTAGCGACTCATAGGAGCAAAGAAATTTATGGTTGAATATCCCCATGTATTGATCTTCATCAATTAGGAGTTCCAATGCGTCAAACTCAACACCATTAAATTACCAGAGAAGGAAAAATAGAGGTATATCATATATGTTACAGGTAGTTAGAATCAAATCTCCTCCAACCAAAGAAGTTTAGTCAAAAGAATGTCTGAGAAATTTAGCACCAAACAAAAGATTGATTTCCATGAGACAACCCAGCAGATCGATGGCCAACAACATATTTGCTTGTGCATTGACTTAGAAACTTATACTAATTCGTAGATGAAGAACAAATAGTCTTAACAGTATTTCTCTCCTAATGCACTAAGAAGTATTTTGTAATTTGGTTTCTCACAGCATCAAGTCTCAACGTGACTTTATAATATCAAAGATAAGGCACATCAGTAATTCAGTTAAAAAATAATTCTTCCTGAAGACAGAAATTAAACTAATGTTACTTGGATCGTTGGTTGATTTGAGACATGGTACAGGTATGAGTACGTCGTACGATATATCTTTAGATAGGCGGTGCGACAGGGATAGACTTGGTCTGNTTGGTTGATTTGAGACATGGTACAGGTATGAGTACGTCGTACGATATATCTTTAGATAGGCGGTGCGACTGGGATAGACTTGGTCTATTGTTTTTGGGTCGTGGTTCATTTTTTATAAGATCGCTTTCTCTATTATATGAGATTATATATAAACACATTCACAAACACATAATGAACTAATATTTATTTTGGGGTTTTAGTAAAATTTGGGGTCAAGAATTTAAACGATCTGAATCACGAAACCACCCCATTTTGGGTCGTATGACCCGATTCGTGAGACGGTAGGGGTATCTATGATCCCAGTATCTATGGCTTAAACAACTAAAGCAAACATAGATCAAAGTTGGTTTTGTTGTTAGTTGTTATATAATAAACACTATTAGCATGCTCATTGGCGTGTTAATTGTCAAATATCCATAAATCGTTGCAGTTGGACACCCTTGAAGTCAAGATAAAATAANTACTTGTCAAATATCCATAAATCGTTGCAGTTGGACACCCTTGAAGTCAAGATAAAATAAGAAAACAATCAACAGCTAAGACTGCAATTGTCTGCTAAATTACCTGGGTTACTAATTGTTAGTTTACTAGGCGTTTTACCATGAAGCTATTCGTGTATTTTAATGATGCTGCACTTTGCACTGCCTTCACACTATATATTTGTTTATAAAAAGTGCTATATATCCACATTAATAATACATAAGAAGAGATATCAACCTACAAAATCTGTAAATCTCTTGTAAGGATTAATTCCATATCAGCAAACCGAAATCTTTCAGAGAGAGATTACCAAGTGATCTCTAGGATTTGGGCGCCTCTGGAACTCCAACTCATCAAACTCAAAGACAGGCAGCAATTCCACAGCATTGATGCCAAGCTCTAAAAGGTGTGGTATCTTCACATGAAAGGAATGTAATAAAAAAATATTGCCAATATCCGTCAAGTACACGTATAACACACACAAATATCTCACATCCTTATCTTTGGTACACCACTAAGAAGTCTTGGACTCGTAAGTTTAATCATATATGTATATCATACAGCCGACACTTCCTTGATCACCTATTTATTCAAAAAGATGATACCAAAAAAGGAAAATAGGTTAAAATGTGGAGCCTTAAAAACATATACCCAACTGGTAGCACAATACAGCATCGTTGACTTAGCACAGTGACAAATTTAATGGTAAAAGTTGAGAAGATCTCCATTAAAACTTACTAATTTTAATTACAGTCTAAAAGAATGTGCAAATGTAGAGATAAAACAGGAGGGAGCCAAATCATTACTAGATAGGAAAATCACATGATTTATTATGCGGAGTATAGCAGTCGTCTTACAGGAAATTCTGGCAGTTTTGCCTGATGCAACTATAAAAGAGGCAGGTTTGCCTGAAAATCGATGACCAAAGGATTTGGAAGTTTAAAGAAATTTCAGGAGTTTCCTATGTAGTGAATATTTTAAGCTTTTTCAAAGTGAGAAGACCAATTTTTCAATCTGGCAAGTTAAGGCATGCAACATTTAAAATGTTACTTATTATTAGAGAAATCAAAAGGAAATAAATAGTCACAGCTATCAANAGGGATAGACTTGGTCTGTTGATTTTGGGTCGTGGTTCATTTTTTATAAGATCGCTTTCTCTATTATATGAGATTATATATAAACACATTCACAAACACATAATGAACTAATATTTATTTTGGGGTTTTAGTAAAATTTGGGGTCAAGAATTTAAACGATCTGAATCGCGAAACCACCCCATTTTGGGTCGTATGACCCGATTCGTGAGACGGTAGGGGTATCTATGATCCCAGTATCTATGGCTTAAACAACTAAAGCAAACATAGATCAAAGTTGGTTTTGTTGTTAGTTGTTATATAATAAACACTATTAGCATGCTCATTGGCGTTACTTGTCAAATATCCATAAATCGTTGCAGTTGGACACCCTTGAAGTCAAGATAAAATAAGAAAACAATCAACAGCTAAGACTGCAATTGTCTGCTAAATTACCTGGGTTACTAATTGTTAGTTTACTAGGCGTTTTACCATGAAGCTATTCGTGTATTTTAATGATGCTGCACTTTGCACTGCCTTCACACTATATATTTGTTTATAAAAAGTGCTATATATCCACATTAATAATACATAAGAAGAGATATCAACCTACAAAATCTGTAAATCTCTTGTAAGGATTAATTCCATATCAGCAAACCGAAATCTTTCAGAGAGAGATTACCAAGTGATCTCTAGGATTTGGGCGCCTCTGGAACTCCAACTCATCAAACTCAAAGACAGGCAGCAATTCCACAGCATTGATGCCAAGCTCTAAAAGGTGTGGTATCTTCACATGAAAGGAATGTAATAAAAAAATATTGCCAATATCCGTCAAGTACACGTATAACACACACAAATATCTCACATCCTTATCTTTGGTACACAACTAAGAAGTCTTGGACTCGTAAGTCTAATCATATATGTATATCATACAGCCGACACTTCCTTGATCACCTATTTATTCAAAAAGATGATACCAAAAAAGGAAAATAGGTTAAAATGTGGAGCCTTAAAAACATATACCCAACTGGTAGCACAATACAGCATCGTTGACTTAGCACAGTGACAAATTTAATGGTAAAAGTTGAGAAGATCTCCATTAAAACTTACTAATTTTAATTACAGTCTAAAAGAATGTGCAAATGTAGAGATAAAACAGGAGGGAGCCAAATCATTACTAGATAGGAAAATCACATGATTTATTATGCGGAGTATAGCAGTCGTCTTACAGGAAATTCTGGCAGTTTTGCCTGATGCAACTATAAAAGAGGCAGGTTTGCCTGAAAATCGATGACCAAAGGATTTGGAAGTTTAAAGAAATTTCAGGAGTTTCCTATGTAGTGAATATTTTAAGCTTTTTCAAAGTGAGAAGACCAATTTTTCAATCTGGCAAGTTAAGGCATGCAACATTTAAAATGTTACTTATTATTAGAGAAATCAAAAGGAAATAAATAGTCACAGCTATCAAAGCACAGTGGCTAGCCAAAAAATGATGAACCCCATAGATCCAACTTCAACTGTATCACAGACAACTTTGCAGTTTCTCATCCACATTTCACGTATATAACAAGAAAGTTATCCAACAAACAAAGCTGTTGTAGACCAATGTTCATAATGTCATTTAGTTCAGCACAAGGAATTACCTTCTCAATTACACCAAGGTAACTGCCACGTATGCTTGGATCCAGACCACTAGATTCATCAGCCGTAAAAGCACGAACATTCATTTCATATATAACAAGATCTTTCTGCAAAGACAGTGGCCAATATAGTGAGTTCCAGATGAGAAGGAGATTTTAAAAACCAGAAACAATATGCACCACTTCCAATAGAAGAACAAAATCTAGGTGCACAAAATGGTTGATCATGCAACAAAATGTCAACAAGTTTAAAGGTAAAACTGATAGCTGCTATGCATTCATCCAAGAAAACATAGAAATGCATCAGAACTTTAATTACACATTTGAACTAAAGCCAAATAGAAAGGGGGGGGCTCATGGACAGACAAAGTTAGTTTTATGAGACAGGATAGCTGGTCAAGAACATAAATTATCTTTAAATGACACAAAAGAGATAAATCCATTTAAACAGCTAAATTTACCTCTGGTATATTTGGAAGCTTGTAATTGTCTCCCCAATCGAATGGAAAGCTATTGAAATCATAAGTCCCAAAATATTTTGACATTTTATTGTTGATATCTCCAAAAGTTCGACGACCTTCAACCAATGTTGCATAAGGATCTATTAGAATAACACTGCTGTCAAATCGATGCCCTTGATGCCATCCTCGAGGACCTTCCATACGGTAACCATAGAGGACATTGCACCGAGAAAGATCCTACATATTCGAGATGTCACATAATACAACTGCACAGACATGATGTAGAAAAAAAAAACAACAACTAAAAAGAAAGAAAGAAAAAAAGAAATAAGAGAATCTGTAACGATCACTGCACAAAGGGGTCCTACTCTTGCATTATATGGAAGTGACCACCAAATTAATATGAAAACACAAAAACCAATTTAACATTTTAGTGGAATAATCAGCCATTTTTATGGACCATTATTTAGATACAAATGAGAAACAATCAGAAAAGCAACCGATTTACAACTGGCATCAAACAAGAACTTTTATTGATCTTAGTTAAGAAAATTACAGAGGAAAAAAAAAAGGGGAAACCTTCACAAAAACGTGAAAAGGTTACCTCAACACATATGTGCCATATATCTCCAGTTTTGTTCGCTTGGGGATCCAAAGTCAACTCAATCATTCCTCCATCGAACAATTCATGCTCTCCCCTACGACATATATCACCATGTCAACTAATGCAAAAAATAGTACAATAGATGGAAAACTAATATACCTGAGTCCAAATACTTGAGAAAACCATGAGAGCAACAAACTCCCATATACGGATGGCATCTTTGGTATTTAATCCATTATGGAGTCATTGGTCATGGAATGAGAATGTCACTACAGCTATATAGGAGAAATTACTGTCCATGCATATATAACAAGCCCTTCAGACTATGGTACCAGTACACTGTATGCCTTTTGTGTCCTTTTGATTTCATTTAATTATATTCCACTTTATGGTTGATATATTTTATTTAAAGGTGGGAAGAGATTGCTAAATTGAGGGCAGAATGATATAATCATGGTATAGATATAACTAATTGGGAACCATTAATTTAAAGGCTCTATAGGCGTAATTGCTAGGTATATTTCACATCCCTACTCCTCGCTTCTGTTTGTTTTGCATTTGAACATGCATAGGCCCTTTTTGTGCTAAACCACAAAATGATTCTAATGGACGAAATAAATCTAGAGTCAACTCAATTCCCAAAACCTTATTCTTAGACAATTATCATGAGAATGACCTCCCATTGTATCTCCAGGTCAAAAATAATACATGTTCTATGAAGACAAGTAGAAATATAAGGTTTATTAGCAGAAATCAATTGCTAACAATCCACAATATGAAAGCTTCGAATGGGAAACTAAACAAAGTATACCGTTGAATAACATGGATGTAATTCATATACCAAACTTGGACTTTAACATATAGTTCTAAGAAGAAATGCATACTCACCTTTCCGGAAGTAACAAACAAAGTATAACAGAGGTAGCATGCTGCGAAAATATAGCAAAGTTGATTCCACTTTCAAGTTCTGATACTCCTAATGGATATGCATGACCAGGGAAAACTTTCAGTGAGGGGCTTGTCTCTAATACTTGAGGAGCTTCTTCCTAAATCATAAACAGTAGACATGAAAAAGGTATAGAACAAAATTACTTGGCATATGACAAAAATATAACACCCTTGAATATAACTATACCAAAATATAGTTGATAAGCATAATACACACTGCACATGAAACATTTAAGAGAAATTTATAAGAAACAACGATTAGCTAGATCCATGAAAATTAAATAATTGTAGTATGCAGGGGCGGAGCCAAAAGATTATGTCAGGGTGGGCACAAATATTTTAATAAATTATTATTTTTTTCTTACAATTGATAGAAATAGAACAATAATTTATTTAATTACGTCATATTTAATACTTAAAAGTTTATTAAACCCACCATATCGAAATTTGATAAGTCTAGTATATACAAACGATAACATTTTTTTTGACAAAATATTAACTAATTAAAATCATTTAGAATTGACTTGGATAAATTTTTGTATTTTTAAAACGTTGCATAGCAACTTTATTACTCTTTAGNGAAAATTATGTCAGGGTGGGCACAAATATTTTAATAAATTATTATTTTTTTCTTACAATTGATAGAAATAGGACAATAATTTATTTAATTACGTCATATTTAATACTTAAAAGTTTATTAAACCCACCATATCGAAATTTGATAAGTCTAGTATATACAAACGATAACATTTTTTTTGACAAAATATTAACTAATTAAAATCATTTAGAATTGACTTGGATAAATTTTTGTATTTTTAAAACGTTGCATAGCAACTTTATTACTCTTTAGATACATAATCATGTTATCACTTTGGTATTTATAAATTATTTGACCGATTGCAACTTTATTACTCCTTAGATACATAATCATGTTATCACTTTGGTATTTATAAATTATTTGACCGATTATACNCGTTGCATAGCAACTTTATTACTCTTTAGATACATAATCATGTTATCACTTTGGTATTTATAAATTATTTGACCGATTATACAGTTTAATGTATACTCTATAATTTTTACCATAATTAGCAAAAATAAATATCAAAATAACAAGTAAACTAGCAAATATGTATATCATGTCTTTTTTAGTCTTAGAAAATATAAAATAATTCTAGTATATTCAAAATTTATCTAGATAGGTACATAACTAGCCCAAAATGTGTCAAAAAATTCATATTGGAGGACATAATTAAAATTATTTCTTTTATATAAGTGTACATTAATATTTTTGTCTTTGATTTTGAGTGGGCATAAACAATATATTATACAAATATACAATATACATTCCTAAGTAATTAAAAAAAAAATTGAGGGGGGGGCACTTGCCCACCCTGAACAGAGCTGCCNATGTCAAAAAATTCATATTGGAGGACATAATTAAAATTATTTCTTTGATATAAGTGTACATTAATATTTTTGTCTTTGATTTTGAGTGGGCATAAACAATATATTATACAAATATACAATATACATTCCTAAGTAATTAAAAAAAAAATTGAGGGGGGGCACTTGCCCACCATGAACAGAGCTGCCTCCGCCCTTGGTAATATGGAATACCAAACAAATGGAGATTTATTGAACAGTATTTTCTAATAACATTGGCGATATGCAAATGTTCACAATACTGACGTCAAGATACACAGTAATTATGCAAGTGCTTAAGTTATGCAAGCAGTATTTAATGGCTAAGGAAAATTACATATACACGTGCACTCCCACGGGAGAGCATGCTCGCGCATGCGCGCGCGCGCGCGCACACACACACAGATATATGTGTGTGTGTGTATAATATACTTCACACAAAAAAAAAATACCTCAAGCACACGTTCTTCCGTAGAACAACTGTAGACATTATGCTTCCTATGGTCCCCTTGTCTAACCTAAGAAAAGAGACCAGTTATTGCTTNAATACCTCAAGCACACGTTCTTCCGTAGAACAACTGTAGACATTATGCTTCCTATGGTCCCCTTGTCTAACCTAAGAAAAGAGACCAGTTATTGCTTCAGTTTGAAGGAAAACAAAGCAATCAAACAATTCCAGACACATCACATTATTCAATATGAAAACACGAAAACGAGCGAGAGGCGTGTGTGTACCTCACCAAAAGATCTTTGCCCCGAGTTGTTAGCCGATGGTGTTTTACTCCACTTGACACTGTCGACAAAGAAAATTAGAACACAATTTCCGGAAACTATTTCAAGATAGTGATTATAGCAGCAATATTCAATACGATTTGAAGCGTTTTAGCTCAAATTGACATATCGTAATGAAGATTATGAGTTTTTACCCCATCGCAGAGGCACGAAACGCTGCAAGAAAAGAGCGATTGAAAGGACTCCAATGAGTCGAAGTAGTGAACGCAGGAAAAGGCTTTATTGTAGAAGAATCGCAGAAAGTTGAGAAGAGCATATTCATTCCTTGCTGCGATTAAAGCCGAGCATCCACGAAAGGTATCGGTGAAAGATACACAGAGAGAAAGAGAGAGAGCAACGAACTTTAAAGCAGTGAAGTGGAGTGAATGGAGCTTTATGGGATTTGATTTGGAAGTCGTTGGGCTTTTCTGGTACCGAGGANGGAGGGGCCTTTTTCATGTCTGCCACGTGAACGGATACGCGACTCCAGGCCTCACGCCTCGACACGTGTCGATCTCGTTGATTTTTACTTTCCTAAATCCTCTTTTTTTTTTTTTTAAAAGTACAGTTTAGTTTCCTAAAAGAGTTTCTCTAAATTTCCCAAGAATATTTTTTTTGATCAATACCTAAAAAAAATTTTACTTTCTAAATTTTTATCGTGAAAGATTGAAATTTTAAAATTGTATACTGAACTAAATAATAAGATGATAATGTGATTCAATTTTTAAAAAGGGGATACAAAATTTTCATTAAAATTATTTTACAATTATGTTTTATGTAAAAAGTTATACATGAAAATAAGTTCCATGCGAAAATTTTATTATCGTTTCACGTTCATTGCCACCATAATTTCCATCCCACTACCACTTATACCCTTATCTTATCGTAACATTATCCAAAATTTATTTACTAATATACTAAATTGATAATTTATAAAAATTTAAATATAAAATTATCGATAAAGATGATGATAAGTTAAAATATGTAACCGCTATCAAAGAGTTAGATATGATTACATATGCCACATGTCATAATTTAATTGGATGAGATCAATTAAATAGATTCAAATTATTTAAAAATAAGAGGTGAGAAAAAATTTCTAAGAGACTTTCTCTCCTAAATTAATTATTTTAATATATAATATAGATAGATGACAAATATAACAAAAAAATTTGACGATAAAGGCAACGAACATTTAATTTTTAATTGTATTGCTACCTTTTTTTTTTTTATCTAATTGTGACCACTTTTGGAGTTGAGCTTATTTAGCTAAAAACACACGTCTATGACTTACTTAAATAGTCGCCTACGGAGCTTTAAAGTCAGTTATGAGATCCGGTTTAAAAGGGACTTGGGGGTGCTGCTGACCTCAATATATATACCTGGCGCGCACACACATGCACAGCGGGACAAGCATTTAGAAATGGCTGAATTACTCATTAAAACACCTATCACAAAAGCAATATTGGACCAGCCATGGTTAAAACCAAAAAAAAAATAAAATTCAGCAATAAAGTCTCTTAGCTGTCGACACCTATGTGCACAGTAATTTTCGCATAATAAATAAACGGATAGATCTCTCCCTTGTTGAACACAAGTTTTACTTGGGAAATCGACGATTTCGTAGCAAACAGAGGTGAGAAATAGTATAAAGATCAGTGATAAATTATTTTTCCAGTAATTCGTGCGATCCCGACATATCCAGATGAATCTTGCAACTCAAAAGAAAAGATTTAAAATGACGCTAGAGTGTTTTTCAACGTAATCCCTCAAACGATCAAGTTAGTATGTGAGAGATGGAAGAAAAAACATTGTTCTATTGCTTAAAAATGATTTGCGTACCTTTATATTGAGATTTTTGAGAGGTATTTATACCTCCATGGAGATAATCAGTACGGATAGGTGGGTCCCTTGGGGAGGCGGCACCTCATTGGCCTCTTTAGAAGGCACCTTGTGGACCATAGTCCTAAGGCAAAGTTTCTTCCTCTTTACACGAAAAAAAGCTTCTGCATTAAAAGGCTCGGATCCCCGAGTATTTAATGCACTTATCTCAAAGTCCGACAAGGAATAAATGTGTCATATCCATCTGAATGATTATTTAATGTCTCTCTGCAATGACNCGGATCCCCGAGTATTTAATGCACTTATCTCAAAGTCTGACAAGGAATAAATGTGTCATATCCATCTGAATGATTATTTAATGTCTCTCTGCAATGGCTATGCACTAGTAGGGACATCTTTGTCCACTGACCCCCAATTATGAGCTTTGAGCCTCGTGTATCATTCTCATTGGCTATTGACCAACTTCTTTTGTCATTCTGACTACTTTGGAAAAGTAAGTCAATGATTATTGATCAATTTTAACTTCAAGTAATGATAACTGTTAATCAATCATCCATATCTCGGGCTTTTAGAGTCAAGATGATGTGTCTGAAAATGGACCTTGGAGGTGTTAGTCACGTCGAAGACACGTGTCACTCACAGATGGAGCCAAGGGATCTTAGTGCCAAGGATACGTGTTAGTCCACGGGACTCCCACGTTTCTCATGCCGAGAGCTTGTGTCATCCTCTTGTTGATTCTCAGAAGTGTCCCATTAACTGCCCCAAAATCCTTGATCTTTCGTACGACATGGGTGACGTGGTGTGAGAAAATGAAAGGACTTGACTGTTGCCCTTACCTTTANGAGCTTGTGTCATCCTCTTGTTGATTCTCAGAAGTGTCCCATTAACTGCCCCAAAACCCTTGATCTTTCGTACGACATGGGTGACGTGGTGTGAGAAAATGAAAGGACTTGACTGTTGCCCTTACCTTTAGCCGTTTTTCTTTTCTTAGGCTTCGTGCCCCATTGAATGCGCTCCTTCGTGCCTTATGCGCAATGATGGGGTTAGCTTTCTTATTTAAACAGAGCCCTTGCTCCTTTCTTTCATTTTTGCAACCTTTATAAAATTAGAATTTTTCCATTCGAATTCCCTCAAAGTGCTTAGATTGAAACATGTGTCCTCGACACTGAGGGCACTACAGAGTTCCTGCAAGTGACACATGTCCTCGGTTTCCATCTCTCAGAGTGCTTAGATTGTGACACGTGTCCTTGCCGTGACTAACACCTCCGAGGTCCATTTTCAAACACGTCACTTTGGCTCTAAAACTCAAAGATATGGATGGTTGATTAATGGTTATCGTTACTTGAAGATAAAATTGATCAATAATCATTGACTTGTCTTCTCAAAACAATCAAAATGACAGAAAAAGCAGATCAAAAGGCAATGAGAATGATACACAAAGTTTAGAGCTCAGAATTAGGGACCAGTGGACAAAGATGCCCATACTATTGCATTGTCATCGCAAAGAGACATTAAATAACCATTCAGATAGATGTGCCATATTTATCCCTCGTCGGACTTCGAGAGAAGTGCATTTAATACTCAGGAATCTGAACATTTAATGCAAAAGTTTCTTTTCGTGCAAAGAAGAAGACATTCTACCCTAGGACTGTAATCCACAGGCTGCCTCCCGAAGGGGTTAATAAGGAGCTACCTCCCCCAGGGACTCACCTGTCCACGGATTATCTTCATGGAGATATAAATAGCTCTAAAAAAAACTCAATGTAAAGGTACGCAAATCATTTTCAAACAATAGAACAATGCTTTTCCTTTTCTTTCTCGCATACTGACTTAATCGTCAAATGGATCACGCTGAAAAACACTCTAATACCCTTCTAAAATTTTTTTTGAGTGGCAAAATTCATTTTGATATGCCTGGATTGCGCGGACTGCTATAAAAGGAATTCATCACCACTCCTTATACCATTTCTCACCTCAATTTGCCACGGGATCATCGACTTCCCAGGTAAAACTCATGTTCACCAAAGAAGAGATCTATCCGTTAATTTATTATGCGAAAATCACCACGCACAACCTAACAGAGTCATCCTGCTAAATCAACACTTTTTTTCCATCCATAGTTGTAACTCTCGACAAATTGCCTATTATTTCCAAACAAACATAAACAAAGCTCTTACCATACAGATTCAATGAAGACCAATAAATAATTTCTAATAACCACAACTGGCAACCTCATACGAAATATAACATAGTAATAAATAAATAAAAACAAAAACAAGATTGAATCGAAATTTAATTTCTCATAATTACATTTTTTGAATGCCATTTGTCAATATTTAATATCCCTACTTCCCCATAACAATGCATCCAATAGATCCTATAATGATGCCTCAAAATAAGAACATCAAAGCGAAAGTTGAATGCAGGGTGGGACATTAAGGTTCAAGGCCTTAATGTGCTCCCTTTCTCCCCCGTACTATGCGCGAAAATCAATAGAGTTTTTCAAAAGAATGCATTTTATGTGCAAAGTCCATATTGTGGTTTCTCCTTCTCGCGATAAGCAATAAATCATCAAGGAAATGACACAATGTCTAAACCAAAATTTTTAAGAATAATCTGCTCTTCTGATATTTCAACTAACCAGTAGAACCCACAGCCTGACAAATCCAAGCTCCATCTGCAAACAAAACAAGAAGAAAGTAAAGACTCCATCCAGTATATAAATAAACGAACCAGTTCAAGGAATTTAAAAAATCACAAACTACATTTAAGTATTACTTTCCAAGACATGTATGGCAAAGTTTATCAGAGGCTTTCTCTTAGACATTGGAAAGTCTTGGGGGAGAGCCTCCTAACGATCATGAAAAGCTCTAGTAAAGACCTCTCCTTTTAACTCTAAAATAAATCTCATCCTATTGTATGTCATTGATCACGATTGGCATTTATCAGTGACTAATACTTGCAGAAAAGCAAATTCCTGTGCACAATGACCAAGTGATCCTCCTCTTACATACGATTCTGCGGGGGTTGCTTAGGCCATGCGGTCACTGTTAGTTCAAACTCTCTTGTTTCTGCTTGCAACATTATTGACCAAGTTGATCTTGTAAGACTGGTGGCTTATACTGATTTCATGGGTAATTCTACCAGGATTTGTTGTTTTCTTTCTCTTTACTTTTATACAAATTTCTTTGTGGTGTTTAAAATCCTCCATGTTGTGGCTTTCCACCTTATTTTCAAGATAAAACAAACAGGTTTTATTATATTCTCGTACATGTATCACAATGAGCCCAATCTCAAATTGTTATACATCGAGAAAGGTGGAAAACCTATACTTTAGTTTAATTGCATCCGGTCAATATCTTAAAATCGTTAAACAATTTTAATCCACTTGAAAAGCAAACAAATAATGTCTCATTTTGTTCCTTGTTTACTGACGACAAGCGAATATTATAATCAACAAGATGCAACAAAGTGGAAAGACCAAC